TTTGGGCCCAGCTTTTATGTCTCATCTTCTTTATCTGATTTTCTGAAATTACCTGACCTAAAAGTTGACATTCTATCTATCTATCTATCTATCTATCTATCTATCTATCTATCTATCTATCTATCTATCCATCTATCTATCTATCTATCTATCTATCCATTTTGTTATCTCTCTTTATGTATGTACATAATTTTTTGTTTTCGAATATGTTGCTGAAGTTGCCTCTTTTTTTAAATCGTCCAGGGTGGCGCTCTTTTTTCTGATGAAAGAAACGTCTCCCCCTTTATTTGGAATGATAGCAGATACAAACTCCCGAACAAATTTGAGCTATATTGGAACAACTCATTATTTTATTCTGAGTTAAAACAAGGAATCTCTTGGTTTGATTTTCTTTTAATAGGCCCTGAATGTCGAAGTGAAATCCATATAACACTTTACTTTCACTATCTGATGAAATACACAGCTAGTGTCATGCCACTGCGATGACGTGGGCAACCCTGACAACCACACCAGTCTTCCCCTAGAATGATGTGAATGATTTCAAAGGAAGTAACACCTAGATCATAGTATTTACATTATACGTCTAATACAATGCCTCTTACTTTAAAAAAGGGCAAACACTAGCCTAAAAACAGAACAAAACAAACAAACAAACAACAACAAACAGCAATAACAACTACAACAAGAAAATATAATTTCCCCATAGCTCCGTGCACACGTCATTTAGTTGAAACTGCGCATTAACTGTCATCTATTTTGAAAGACGCAGTATGTTTTGCATTTCTTTGGTGCTTTCCTTTCTTTGGGTGTTTATTTGAAAGCCCTAGAATTGGTGCGGGAAAAATTGCTCCTAAAATACAACTGCATTTCTCAGATATGGCACCACTACGACTGGATTCCCTAAAACCAATTTGTGAAGCTGGTGCTTTGACATTGTCTTTAGGGGAAACCTGTGTTGCTGTTGTTCCTGGCGTTTTCTTTCTGTAAGCACTATAGTCATTTTTGGTTGTAGTGACTTTATTTTATGTTTTGGCTAAACCCTATTCACACAATTTTAATTATTGAGGAGTGTGGCTTCTTAGGGCTAGCCCCGACTGAGGGGAACATAGTATTCTAAGAGGTAGAAGAAGATCCTCGATGGAATAGACTCATAAACGCAGGAGGGAAACAGACGTAATACATATTGTTATATACATTCAAACTTGGTTTAACGACCACCTGTATTTTACAATCACCCGTTTAAATGTCCAAGTTGCATTTCCCAATTGCGTTTTTATTTTTCCACTCTAATGACACAGTAAGATGTCCAACTGTCTGAGACAGCTATTTCTCTTCCAAGCAATAGGTGACCCTTTTAGACAATTTCAAAAGTACTAAGAAACAGAGAGAAAGAGGGGGCTCTCGTGGCCTAGAGATTAAGGTGTTCGCCTCTCATTCAAAGGTCCCGGGTTCGAATCCGGGTAGCGACCAAAACATTTTCTTCTCTAAATTTGTCTCCTTTCACCTCCTTTCCGACTCTCTAGCAATGTTCTGTCGTCTGCTTTCGTCTCCTCTTTCTGCCCCCACCCCGTCACCTCCTTTGCCCCCTCCTCTGGGCTCCTGATTCTTTCTGCAGCCTTTCTACTGCTACTCATTGGCTTCTTCTTAATGCTGTCTTTCAGCCACACCCCTGATCTTCTGGTAGGAAAGATCTACACCTAGCCTTCTCGGACAAGGGCGAAAAATCTCGGAGGTCCCGTGTGCAAGCGGTGCACGTTTAAGATCCCTTGATGGTATAAAATCGATAAGAGTAGGCTTCGGCCGCCACCCGGGCAAAATTCAAAATTTCCTACCAACTGAAAAAGTTTAGTGTGTCCTGCGTGCTCATATGACCTTATGCAGTTGCGAGCGCCGTAAAACACTTACAAAAACAAACAAACAAAAGAGAGAAAGACAGAAAAAGACAGATGAACAAATAGTCAAACAGACAAACAGGCAGACAAACAGACAGACAGACAGACAAACAGACAGACAGACAGACAGACAGACAGACAGACAGACAGACAGACAGACAGACAGACAGACAGACAGACAAAGTGCGAAAGAAAAGCGGAAAAAGAGAAACACAAGACACCAATCTTACTTTGTGCGGAAGACCTTATCAACGAAAGACTTCATGAATTCCATACACTCCAGGGTGACGTCATCAGGCTGGGAATCCAGGCTGTAGTTGGAGCTCCAGGACTTGTCCGATCCGACAGAGGCTGACCGGTGCATTGTCGTCCCGCCATACTCGGCGTCTGAGGAATCCACGCTGGTCTCCGCTCTGAGAGGCCCGTTACTGGCTCCATCGTCTGACGAGCCGTTGGGACTTTGAGTTGTCTCGGTCAGGTCCGGTTCGAAGGACATGAGGTTTTCGGGCGGGGCCTCGACCGGAATGACCGAATCCACCTCGGGCTCGACGTAATCGTCGAACAACATCTCGTCCACGGTGCTGGACCGGCGTTTCGTGGTGGTGAATTTGGGTGCTTTTTTCCGCGTGCCCACACTGCCGCCACCTCCGCCGCTCCCAGACCCGTCGCCGGACTCGTTAGCGGACGCGCCGCTGTCGCTGCTGGGGTAGGCCTTTTCATCGCGGCCGCTAGACACGCTTCCTCTGCTGCTGTCTCTGGATGATCGCCGCGCGTCTGATTTTCGCGTAGCGGCGGCGGTTGCGTTAGCGTCTCCTGGTCGTTTCTTCCTTTCGCCCCATTCGTCCGAGGAGGAGGACGTGGGACCGTACCCTTGGCCGTAGTCCTCTCCAGGAAGCCCAGCAGATTTGGATGCTTTAGATGCGGACGATGCAGGCGTTGCTTGGTGCTTAGTATCCTGTTTCTGGGTTCGAGGAGCAGGTTTGGGTTGAGAGGGAATCCGAGTCGAACCGGAACTGGAAGAAGATCCGGATACATGTCGAATCCGTTGTTGGTTACCCGATTCGACTGGTTCTGAGGCTTTAGCATGAGGAGCAGTTGCGGTAATTGAAGAGTTTTTCATCGTCTCGGGTTCCCTTTGGTTGTAAATCGGCTCGTCAAAACTAATGTTCATCCCATTCATGGAAAATCTTTCTTCTCTCCCGTTGTTTCCCGCGCTCTCTCTTCTGTGGTTCGATCTCTGAGAAGTGGGACCCGAAACAGAGGTATCCACCCCGTACTCTGGCCGACTGTCGCTCCGGGTATACGTCGGCATGGACGCCATTCTTTTCATTACATTATTCTCTTTTTCTCTGGAGCTCCCCATAGATGGAAGCCTCTTTGGTGGTGGGGGGCGAGGGGGTGGGGTGTTAGGGGCGGGTGGGGTCATGGGCGGGGAGGTAGAGCCATCACTGCCCGTACTATTGCTGATCGTGTCTGTCTTCGGAGCGAAAGTGTTCTCAATCTTTGAAGAGATGTCACTGAAAAGTCCATTTTTCTTTGCTACCATCGAGCTGAAAAACTTGGAGGTACCATCTGCCAGACTCTCGGACAGGGATCTTCTTTCTTCCCGCGTGCGGCGACCAGGGTAACCCGCGGTCCCATAAGCCCCTTGCCCTTTCCCAGAATCCATTCTGACAGCAGGAAATCAATGAGCCAGTCCCAGTCAACGCTCAATGTCGACGAACGAGATTATTGAGTTTAGGCGCCTTGGCGTGTGTAAGACCATCTGCGGAAGAGAAAAACACAGTGGTAGAGGCACGTAGGGTGAGACCAAGTCCAAGAATAGTTGATTCTATGAGGGTAAAGCTTGAGTGCTCTTAAGGGTTTCCGTTTGGGCCAACGCGGCTGAGGTCGTGAAACCTCTAAGAAGATGTAATGGACGGGAATACTAACACAGACACACAACACATAGACACACACACACACACACACACACACACACACACACACACACACACACACACACAAACACAAACACATATACACACACACAGGCACACTCGGTTCAGGATAATAGGATCGATTATGTAGAACAAAAACAAACCTTTCTGAACGACTTGTTCAGTTTGCCAAACAGTAAAACGAAACATCCTTTAACGCTGTTAAAATGTGTACAGACGTAATGTAAGTAAATAAAAAGGAAGAATTCAGATCCAAGTTTTTTTCCCCTGCAATACTTTTTTTTCTTTTTCGTTTCGTTTACTTCCCTAAGGCTGAATCTTTTGCTTCAACTAAAGTATTGTTTCATCCCTACATTTTCTTCCCCATAATTGAAAACAGGTGTGGTACGTAAACGTATGTCCTCTTTCTCATCTCCCTCTCCCTCCCTGTGTCTGTCTGTCTCATTCTGTCTCTCTTTCTCCCCCCATCGCTCTCTTTCTCTCTCTCTCTCTCTCTCTCTCTCTCTCTCT